CTTCCAATCCAGAGGAGAAGTTAACTAGCTCTACCTCACAGCCAAACAATAGGGAAGCCAAGCCATGCACCAAAATCACTGAAAAATGAAAAAAAATTGTCATCACCATCATGTACTTAACATGTCAACTTTCCTATAGGGTGTCATAGAGGCCAGGACCTCACCAGGATTTAAATAAAGTTCAGCACTGGCTATCAAGAACAAGCACTGTTACATTTCAAGTGTATTCTCCAACAAACAGGGAATATCCATCTGCATGTGCCAGACAAGTGAATGAACAAGTAATTTACTACCTTGTCCAGGCACATCTGTGCTTACTGTATCACCTTCATCTTTGAAGAATGGGATTGTAACTGCAAAGCTGTTTTAAAAAGAATTATATTAAGCCTTTATGCAAGGAGGGAGCCAAATATGCCAAGACAAGAAGTCAGGGCTTCAAATTAAGCCCATTTTCTTTCAGCTTGCTTTGTGTTCAGTGTTTGCTAAATAGCTCCCTCTTAATTCTAAGTGTAGCCAGTTCCCATGTAGGCTGTTCATCCCTCTTGGCATCCCCCACAGAATCCAGCTTTATTTTTGTTGGCTGAAAGAATTATAACTAAAGGTTGTATTTTCTTCCCCCGCAGGCACAGCTACGTTTTTGACAGCCTTGGTGAGAAGTATGGAAGATTGGTTATTAATGGTGCAGAAGCTGAAGTGAGGTCCTGGCATGCACAAAGCTGAGCTGCCTGCATTTTATCACCAGATTCCTTTGTGGCTGGCCCAGGTGGATGCAGTGATGAGCTTTATAGGCTCCAGCCAGTTGCATGAAGCTGAGAGTGATGATAAATCACATTTCCTTTAAGGACAGAGGTGTTAATTGGACCTGGGCTGGCCTTGCACAGAAAACTACACTTGTGAGAAAAATGTCCTTTCGTGGAGTCCCTGGCACAGAAAACTGAAAGTGGGATAAACATGATCAACTGAAGTGTTAAAATGATTGGTGACTGCCTTTCATCTGCTTTGATTTGGCAATATCTGTGGAAACAGTTGGTGGCTTCGATATCATTCCTGGAACATCCCCATCTCCCTCAGAACTGCCAACGGCTTTGGAAATCTTGACATTTGAAAAAAAACCAAAAGGAGTGATTCATTTACAGTCAGATTTCTAGGGGTATATTCCTCTTCATGATGTTCCATTGTTTTTGGTAAATGTCATCCAGAAATGAATCATTTGCAGAGCACGTGCATAACGTGTCTGTGTGAGATTCCTTGTAAATGCCAGGTCTGCCCACAACCACAGCCTTAGCAAAAAAGCCTGTGTCAGGTTTCCAGTATATGGTGGATTTGTTGAGTTGGGGAGCAAAAAGTATCTTTGAGACAGGACATCCCTGAGTCTGATGCACTAGAGGTCACTTTGTTTCTGGATTTGGGTTTTTTTCAGGGTGGTACCTAGAGAATTCTTTCAGATGATTCGGCAGTGAGTTCTGTCCATGAATAATGAGGTTCTTAACAACAAAATTAAGTGCAAGTCTGCAACTGTTAGGGATAAGGGCACTCTATCTAGTATTCAGTCTTTAATTTCCTTCTGGCTGGAGTGCAGTTATGAGGAATGCTTGTTTCTCCTTCGACACTTTCCTGTTTGAGTTGTGGCTTTTGTCTGCCAGCCAAAGGAGCAGAGAAGAACTCCTAAAAATAGCTGTAATGTCTCCTGTACAGTGCATTAACACAATTTTGTTTCACTTTTAGCAAGCATTTTCTCTGGAATAACACTGATATTTCCTGTTCAGAGAGCTGTTGTGCCTGCTGGCTCTCTGTGGTTTTACTTCTTTCTCCCAGGGTTCTAGATGGTGTGGTGTGTGATTTCTGGTTTGTTCTGAATTCTGGACATGAGGACGCACCATGTGGCTGATCAGCAGCACATGATCCTAAATAAGAACTGGGAGAAGGACAGATACATAGTAGGAAAAGATGTGTTTGTAATGAATATGGATACAAAAATGGTAAAAACGGCAGTATTTCATTTCAGGCAGGTGCTGGTTCTGCTCTGTGGTAAGGTTCTGCTTCATCCAGTATCTGATGGCCTTATTTCGGGTTTCCTTTCATTCTGAATGTCTTGGGCCATTTGAGAGATGTTCATAATAGTTTTCTGCAGGAGCTAAAATTTTTCAGGTCCTGTTAGCACTTGCAGGGTGCTGTGTGAATGCAGCTGAGCTCTTCCAGGGCCTGCCAGTCCCCTGGAGTGTGGTAGGAACAGCCACACAACGTTGTGCCTCAGTGTGAGGAACACAATGAAGGTACACCCAAGTGTCTCCATGCAGAATCACACCAAAGTTTGTGTTTGGTCATGACTTTTTCCATGCCTAAGCAGTATGGCTTGGCCATTCTGAATTGCATTCCCTCATACTTGTTTTGTCTGTGAGCTTCCATTATCCAGGGAAAACCCACTTCATTAGCCTTGCTAATAGAATTGACTGTGCTCTGTATTTATCCTCACACAATGAAGATCAGCATCTCACCCTTTGCTAGCAAACATTGAATTTTAAAATTAATTAAATTTGCAGGGTTTACATAGATGAGCCACGAAATCCTTTGTAGATCTTTTAACAATGCCCCTCTTTGAAACCATAAACGTGTTTTGTAGAGTCAGTCAATCCCACTGGACACCTCAGCTCTCTAAATCTTTCCTTTGGGTATCCTGCCAGCAGCTCCTTAGATTTCAGGTTTTAGCATTAACTTTGCTTCTGTGTTTCAGAAAAACAGAGATCCGTGCTCAGAATGCAGAGGAAAGATCTGAAGGTCTTGAAGAGAAGCTGGAAGAAGCTCTGCAGAGAATCAAAGAGCTAGAGTGTGAGCTGGAGAAAGATGGGAAAGTCATCCCAGAAGCAACATACAAAGAAAGGCAAGGTCAGGAGAATCAATATTTTGAACCCTGTCATAGACTCGGAGAGTGAAGCACTCTTCAAGGGCACCTCATTCACCTCCTGTTTAGTGCAGAACCCTCCCCTCCTGGGCATGTCCCAGGGTTTTGTCTTGACTCTTTGTCAGAGGTGAAGCAAGGAGGCTTTTAACATGATTCTAGGTCAGGGCAGAAAGAGCTGCTGAATGTGGTCTGCTTTTGAGAGAAACTAATTTTGTTTGATTTTGATATATAACACAGGGTCTGTGTCTAGAAGATCATGTAACTGGTGGCATCTGCCTTGTAGGTGAGTTTTCCCTGTTACAGTCAAGAAGATCTGTTTAGGATCACTGATTTTGGAGTAGAAAAGAAACGATGTTCCAGGTCCCTTCACTCTCAGAGGCCACAGGCCTTTTTTGTTTATACCACAGGACACTCTTGCTCCCTCCAGGAGGTATTTGAACACTGCTGACCCACTGATCTTGCCCATACTGTGTGGCAGTGAGTTCCTCAGGTCAAAAGTTTGTTGTGGGTGAAAGCATTTCCTTGTGTCCTTTCTCAGCTAGATCCATGAGATATAAAATGTGGAGAAAAAATGGGAATTAAAATTCCTTCCCTTATTCCTCTAGCGTGTCCTGTCTCTTTGACATCAAAGTGGGAGGAGAGGCTAATTTGTTTGTTAAAGATGTAATATCTTGGGCACATTTTAACTCTGTGGTATTTTTAATGGCTTTGGTTTGTTGTTTTGTTTCTCTTTCAGAAAGATGTTTCCAAGAAAGTGTCTCAGAAGTCGAGGCCTGCCCAAGTCCCAGAGCTGCTACCTCTGGCCAGCCCAAGAGATGCAGAAAAAGCAAATACTGAAGAACAGCAACGCCTGAATAATGTCCTAGTGCCCATTCACTGTAGTGTTTCACCCCTCACCTACTACCCCAGCATCTCTGTGCCATCTCAGCATTTATGCTGTTCTTCTACTTGCCTTCACCACTTCCACATGTCTTGCTTGTCCTCTGCCTCCTCCCACAGTTCTAATATCCATGCAGCTTGTCATCCCTATAATACCACTGCTACCTCAACTTTCTCCTCCCCACATCTCTCTTGCCTGTGCCCCTTCTGTTTGTGCTCATCAATCACTTCTTGCTGCTTTATCTCCTTCTGCCTCATCCCTTTTGGATCATGCAAGTAAGTTGTTTGTACCTCTTCCCTCTCCTCTCAAGGTTTTTTTTCCTCAGTGCCAGCATAGCCTGGTTGTCTATCTGATAATGAGTACCTCCTTCATCTTCTGGATTTCAGATGATCCAAATACCAGCTGCCTGACTGGTTAGGAAGAAAATGCACAAAAATTGGGATGACTCTGCAATTTGACCCATTCTCAGCTTGGAAGAGCAGGCAGTGAAACTGTCAGGAATCCCATCAGCTCAGACAATCCTTGCCAACTCCCTCAGAGTAAATTCTCTTTTGGAAACATATCACTAACCCTTAACTACATTTTTAAATGATGTTCTGCAAGTTTTTTTGAACATAATATCTCCTGAAGGTAAAATGACAAGTTTCTGCCAGCTCTGTGTATGTAAAAGAGAGAAGATCCTGCTGGAACAAGACATGCTTTTTGGAACTGAGGATGTTCTTAGCTATAATTTGCCTTCTTGTAACTGCAGAAAAGTTAAATGTTTGAAAAAAGCTGTGCCTGGCCTCTGCAGATACAAGTGCCAACAGGGTAATCTGTGTGCCCTGACAAACTACTGCGTGTGGCTTGACACTGTTCTCGGGCTAAGTGCTGTTCCTTTGAGACATTATCTGTAAAGGTGTTGGTCTTTGATGTGCTAAGAATCTTGGTCTGGATGGATCATTTTACATGGAGTTAGAAAAGCAGCCAGAGAAGTGTTCAGAGAAAGGATCAGCTGCAGCTCACTCTGTGTAGTATTATACCCCTTTGCCCGAGGTTGGGAAAGAGAGGCCTTTTCCAGCAGCATGAGAAATAACCAGAAGCAGCTTTAGAGGAGTAACCGCACAATTCATGTTCCCTAGCAGGAGATGACAGAGCTGTTTGACTTCCTAGAGCTAGTTTTCCATGAGCAGATCACCACTGAGATCTATTACAGGCACAGGAGCCATCCTGCCACCCTCTCCTGAGAGGGTTACAGTGGCAGAGTGATGTAGATGTGAGGTTACACCTGGAGCTCCGGTGCTTGTGTGATCACCAAGAAGTTCACAGGTGGATTTTTCCCACTTCCCAGCCACTTGTAAGGGAGCTGGTTGGCCAGGTGTTTGTGCTGTAAAAGGGCTGGCAAATACTTGTAGAATGAGTATTATGGGAGCTGTGAGTGTTACCAGCAGCTGTGGGTGTTACCAGCAGCTGTGGATAAGGGAAAATTCAAGAGTGAGCAAGTGGCTAGGTAACCCCTGCTAGGCAAATGCATGATGGCAACAATTTGGGGGCAACTGGGAGAAAGTGCTCTCTGTCTTGGCCTCTACCAGCAGCAGGACGCTGGTGCTGGGAATGGCTGTGCAGAAAGGTCTGCTTTGAAGCCAGGGGAGACACTGTAGGTCCAGTAAAAAGTCAGGAGCAGAGCTGACACCCACCCAAAGGGCACCAGGACCAGACCAAGTGAGTGCAGGGGTATTTCATTTGACAGTGCTCCAGATCTTTGCCAAGGGGAAGGACTGCAATGTCTGTAGGTCCCTGGTAATTTCTAACGGCCTCAGTCAGGAAAGATATATCAGAGTTTTGAGGCTTATAGGAGTATTGAGAACTCTGTCCCTTCTCTGTGCCTGTGTCTCTCAGGCAGCTGCAGCAGGCAAGTGTTGCAGTTCCCAAGGCTCTCAGCTGGCTCTTCCCAGTGGTGCCGGATTCCCCCTCGTCAGCTCAGTGGGCGTTGGTTAAACGGGTCACCTTAACGCTTTTAGGTGCCCGTGAGCTCAGACGTTGTCCTGCCTCACCACCCTGTGGAAGCGAGCAGCAGCACAGCCTGCCTCTCCTCTGCACAGCGGATGTGCCGGGCAGGGAAGCGCTGCCCTTTCCTCCTTTTACTTTTCCTCCTACTTTAAAGTTAGGGCTAAACATCTTGTTTGCTCGTGTGTGGATGTATTTGCGTGTGGGTGGTGACTGAAATCCCAAATCCAGGACGGCACCACAGACCCAGCTCATTCCCAGCTTGTTCCCTCCTCGCAGGACGAGGCTGGAGGCACCCACCATCCTGCCTGAGTGCTGAGCCCCTTCCTGTTCCCCCATGGATTTCCAGGCTCCCACTCCCACCTGCCCAGCTGTTTGGTTTGGGGGTGGGGGGCATCTAAATACATAGAATGTATTTCTGTCCTTCCTGCCAAGGTGATGGGATAAAATGGATCAGACTGTGGGGGCCAGGCTCTAAGGTGTCACGATGCATGTGGCCCTGTGATGGGGAAGGGATGACACCCCCCTTCCCCTGACCCCCTGCTCACACACCTGCCAGGCCTGCTCCTTATTTTTAACTTTCCAAAACAAGTAGAGGCTTTTTCCACATACAATCCACTTTATATTGCAGGCCTGGGCTGCCTCCCCTCCTGCCTCCAGACCAGGACATGATGTGGGCTGCCAATAAGCCAGCCCTCTTGCTCCTCTTTGAGCAGGATTGACCAGGAGCAGTGTGGGAGCCATTTCTGGGACAGCTCTCAGAGCATGGGGGAGTCCTTCTTGTCTTTCAGGCTTTCTGGGAGCTTTGTGGTGTCTGGGAGGAGGCTGCTCATGGCCGCAGGGCTGTGGGCAGCCGGAGAGACCAGGTTCATGGCATCCAGAGGGAAGGGCAAGATGAAAGCAGCGGGTTTCTCTGCAGTGAGGGAGTGCAGTGCGTGGAGGTAACGGAGCTGAGCAGCAGCAGGGGCACTGGACAGGATCTCAGCTGCCATCCGCAGGGACTCGGAAGCTGCCTTTTCCCCCTCTGCAGCGATCACCTGCCAAGCAGGGGAAGAAAGGAGGTTTCTGTGAGTGAGGGGAGTGAGGGAGTTCTGCGACTGGCAGTGAGGTGGCACAGTGAAATTCCCAGGGCCAGTGTGATTATAACATTCCTGCTCTTTGAAGATCACAGCATGTACTAGACCTCTTGATGCTGCCAAAAGTTTAGGAGCTCATGGCTAATGTGTTTTTACTGGGCCCATCAGAGGTCACACTTGGGCTCCCCTTGCTAGACCCAGCTCTTGAACAGGAATTAAAGGAAACATATCTTCCCAGAGCCATGTGTTCGTGTGGCATGTCCCAGGGACCTCAAATCAGGGCTGGGAAAGGAAGGAGGAATGCTTTGGAAGGAGATGAGAAGTATTCAGAGTTGGCATACCCGCACTTTGGCTTGTCTCTGGGCCTCTGCTTCCACGGCCAGGGACTGCCGGAGCTCAGCAGGCAGCTGTATGTTGTTGCTGTGGCAGGAAAGGACAGGGATTAGCTGGGCTCTTGGCTCTCCTGGCAGCACTGGATGGTCAATCTGAAGCTTGGAACGGGCTCATCAGTCAGTCTCTGCAGAGTATTCTTTTATGTTCTTTGCTCTCTGGCTCTTCCTCTTTGTGTGCCTGACTTTAGATTTCTACCTCCATTCCCATCCTTCTCTTTGAGCCTGGTTTTGTAGTGACCAGGACTGCACGATCACTAGGCAGCAGAGAGACATCTCTCTGTACCTCTGAGGCTCAAACTTTAAGCTCACTCTGTGAGACAGCAGAGACTCCACTGGGAGACTGCTCTCAAGACAGGCACAGGAATGATCTGTTCACAGATTTATTCATTCACTGCTTGGCTCTCTCTTCCATGTCCCTGTACACGATGAGTGAGTCCCACCTTTGTGCACAGACTTCTGAGTGATGAGCCCACCCCTCTCAAAGACCCTGGGGCCTTTGATCTAGTGGGACATGGAGAGTTCAGTGCCTCCTGCACCTCGTGGGCTACCAGAATTGGGTGCAAACTCTGCCTGCAGCAGCAGTGAAATGGTGATGAGATCCCAGCTAAGGATCCTGCCCCAGCTGTCAGTGCAGGAGCAAGAACAGTCTGACATGTGGAAGTTTTATGTGAGGCTGAAAGGGGCAGGGAAAATAGGAAGGTGAGAGGTAAGGCTCTACCCTCTGCAGAATAGCTGCAGGGAGAGAGACAGAGGCAAAGCAGGAAGAGAAGCAAGCAGGAGCGAGTAGGATGGGTTCTTGCAAAGGACCAGGGAATTCCCTTCTACCAGCATTTCCTACCTACATTTCTACTCTCTCCACTTTGATCCCCCAGCAGCCCGTGACTGCATCCAAAGCCACCTGTGAAGAGGAATATTTTTAGAGCATGGGGAGAACAGCGGCCCTGGCCTAGGCTCCTTACAGGGAGTAAGACAAGGCAGGGACATTAATTGCAGGACTGTGAGGCAGATTTATCAGGTTTTGTATGCTGTTGTGCAAGACCCCTCAGAAATTAAATTACTGCCCTCACTTCCAATTTGTGTTTACTCTGGGGGTTTGGGATGATTTAACTGGAGTCCCCAGTGATTCCAAGTCTGGAATCCTTCTTCAAAGCAGTGTCTGTGACTGAGGGACTGACCACCCGAATGAGCTTCTTTGTGGAGCCTCAATTCACCCCTTGCTCTGCTGTCCCCCTCCCCGTGGAAGCACCTTGATCTCCTGGCTAATGTTTTTCCTCTCCAGCAGAAGCTCAGAGAAGGCTTGATGTGCCAGGAGGCGCTTCGTGGTGGTCTGCACCAGCAGCTGGATGGCACTGGAGATGCTGGTCAGGGTGGTGAGGAGAAGAGAGGCATTCTCCAACCGGTAATAGCAGACAGCATCTATCTCCAAAGTAACCATGTCTTTGGTCACCACCTAAGAAGAAGACATGGAGCTGGTTCTGGCAGTTCTAAGGTAGCACAGGAAAGCACACAATTGAGAGAATGATGAGGACTAACTGGATGGTTAAGTCACTGTAGCTTCCACCTCTGATACTGACTGATCTTGGGCAAACTATATATGCTCTGGATCTCAGAGGTTACTTTGTGATGGTTTTTTCAAACTTTTCTTTGCAAGGATGAAGGCTGGAAGCAAAAGATCTAACATTAAAGAGATACCAAAATTAATATAGAGGGGGGTATCAGCCATACCTGATGGAAGGGGATCTCTAGGGTTTTGAGGCGGAGGTCTATCTTGTGATATGTGTCCAGACAGGGAAGGAAAAAGAAAAGGCCTGTGGGAGGAAGAGAAAGGCAGCTGACGATCATCAGAACCACAGAAATTGCCTCTCCTGCTCTGGAAAACAGGGGAGGGTTTGGCATGCAGAACCACAAAGGAACAGCAATATATGGGCTCAAATTCTGAGGCTGCTTCTGTGATGGGGAAAAGCCCTTAAGAGGAAGGGAACAAAAACATCCCATCTCCTGTCTGGCCATGTCTGCTTGGAGGACACCAGCATGTGAGCTTTGGTAGAGCATGAAAAAGAGGAGCAACATGGCTGTGGGGAGCTGAGTAAACACCTTACCAGGTCCTTTGGCTCTGCCAGGAAGGAGATGCCCAAGTCTGAAAACAATGGCTCTCTCATACTCACGCACTACCTGCAGAGGGAAACAAAAGGGAGGCTGGAGAGGAAGAAGCAGGACTGGGAAAAGCAGCTTCAGAGGCATGGGAGGGAGTCTGTTCTGGAAAAGCCCTGCAAAGGGAGGATTTCAGCAGGTATGAACTAGTGGTATCACTTGTCTCTGAGTCCCTTTGCCCAGCATTGCTGGCTGAGCTTGTGTGTGAGCATCCCTGTGACAGCCCAAGATCTAGTGAGAGCAGCCCATGCTAGACCCACCCAGGGTTCCCCAGGATGAGGCCAGCATCTTGATTCCTTAAATTAAAGGAAGTTAAAATTTTAAAATTAAAATTTTAAAATTAAAGGAAGTTAAAATTTTCCATGTTGGTTGTTTCCCCCCATGGGAACCATGTGTGCATGTGCTCATGGGTGTAAGAGCTGAGCCGTAATACTGAAATTCTTGTTGGTAAAAAGATGCATGTGAAATTTCCTGAGAAGTGGGAATCAAAATATGCCTACTTGTAACCATGCTATAAATCTGACAAAAATTAGAGGAAGAGGGAAAATCTGCTATTAGCTGTGAGATCAATCTCTCTTAACATTTTTAATTCAAAACCCATTTACCCAGCTGTTGCAATGCAGCCCTCTCTGGCCTGAGTAGGCTGAGGATTATATTTGAAAGTGAATAAACTTGCAATTTGTTTTAAAAAAGAGACACCTAAGCCCCTGTCTGCTGATATTGCAACAGGAGTATTTGATAGGCAGTGGTTGGACCCCTGTGCAGCCCTGTGCTGTAGCAACATGTGATAAAAGATAAATTAAAAGTAATAATGAGTTGAAGAGGTGTAAATAGGGCCTTAGACCAAAAAAGCTTTATGCTCATGTCTGACACATGCTGAATCAGTGTGTGACATCCACATCAGACACCAGATACTGAGAGAGGCTCCATGGCTATTCTTACCTTCATGCAGAACCAGACAGAAATGGGGAAGGTCATTATGATGAACAGGAAAGACAGGATGGTCAGAAGCCACTCACAGATGCCCAGACCTGGAGACTTTACACCTAGGGAGAAATCCAACATGACTGTGTTAGGAGAGGACTGCTCCCAAAATACTGATAGTCTGACAAGTGCCTGCACACACAAGCTTCAGTGTTGTCCTTTGCCTGGACTTGGTGGATGCGAATCACTTGTCACTCTCTGGAGGTGAGTTAAGGAACACTGCCTGGTCCAGGTGGCCAGGAGCTGTGAGGATGGAGGGGCAGATTTTGTCTCCACTTTACTGACAAAACTGAGCCATGCTTCTCCATAGTTGCTTGACTAGAGAGCAACCTTTCTCTTGAAGAATTGGGGCTACCAAGCAGTGTTGAAAGGCTTGGAATGGGCAACTTGGCTGAGCTGGGATTCCTGAAACTAATCTGGAAAGATGAGCTAAAAGTAAAGACTGTAAATAAGAGAGAGCTTTCAACATACACAGCCTGAAGTGCTCTTCCCTATCAGGGTATTTCATGTTGCTTTGGAATAGGATTTTAGTTGCATCTCATCTCCCTAATGCAGCGGGATAAAGCCACTGATGCCACTGAACTCTCCCTGTGCTCTACAGCAGTCACACCAAGGTGCTGGGGGCTGACTGGGGTGATCAGCCCCAGATGAATACTACCTGCTACATCTCCCCAAAGGGAGTGTGGATCATCTTGCTTTGGCTGCCCTTTGTTGTGCTCCTGTCTGAAGTAAAATTCAGCAGGTATGGCATGAAAATTGACATATTACTCCTGGATGTACTAAAAGCCAGAGAGTGGACCGTGATTTCCAGCAGTGAAGTTGGCATCCCTCCCATTTTGAATCCCTTCTAGCCCTTCCATCCCTGCCCCTCTGCCTTTGGAGGTCTCTGCAGAACCACCAGGTCCTGAGAGAGCTTCAGATCCCAAGAACCTGCATAATCACTAGAGCTCCACAGCACCACTCACTAGCTAGTGAGTGATTCCTGTAACTGAGGCAGAAAGACATGGTTGTGCAAAACTAGTTGACAGAGAGTCAGGAGCACATCTGAACCTTTGTGTCACTCTAGGGCAGCAGAGTTGCTGGCATGGGAGTGCACAAGTGATGCTGGCTCCTGTAATACACGTCTGCCATGCCCTGGTGATGCTGGGTCCAAAGAGGCCCAGACACCTTGCCAAAAGATTCATGATGCTCCCTTCTATCATGGCAGGCTGGGAATCTGCCTAACAAACATGTGGAGCTGCTCTTAAAGATTATCCAGAAGGGCAGCTGCGAGTGTGGACCTTAAGGGTAGTTCCTCCCTGCAGTGAGGTCTTTTGGGCTGTGAACTGGCATTAAGGCTAATGCTGTCCACCTGAAGAAGGGTAAGAGAAAAGGAAGAGAACAGAGCTGGGAGGCTGGCTGGAGTCTCCCATATTTTGTCCTGAGGATAACCACATCTGTGATGACACCGTGCAGAGAGCAGTCATACTGTGACCCACACAGCATCAACGAGCCAACACTTTCCCAAGCCCTTCCCTTCTTATAAACCGTACCTTCCTCTTGCTGCTCGCTGTCCAGCAATGCCATCGCCTCCATTTCTTCCTCAGACACCACCTCATCCACATCCACCACCGTGGAGGTGTGCACCCTGCCATCAGTCCCCACAGTGCTCTTGGTCTCCTTTGCTTTCTCCTGCTTTATGTCTCCCCTTCCTTTGCTGCTTTCTCTGCTGCTCTCCCTCTTCTCTCGTTTGCTCTGCGTACCCGGAGACTCTCTACGTCTTCTATGAGACTCCCTGGAAGAGCTCCGAGCCCTCTTATCCATCCTCATCTGTGCCAAGGGACCCACAGCTGCCTGGGGGAGCGGAAAGAGTACGTGCTTGAATTTATTGCCACAGGCAGGGGAGGAGAGAAGGGGAGGTGTCACATCAAGGAGGCTCGTTTCAAGTTCATCGGGGCTTGTCAGCTGTAATGGACAGTGAAGTGAGCAAGGTGTTTCCAGCTGCTCGGCTCTCATCACACCCTGTGGAGATGGGAAGGAAGGTTAAAGCTGAACACGGTGGACCCCAGGAGGACATTCTGTTTGCGTCCTGCTTTTGGGAATAAAATACAATCAGAAGCACTCAGATGATTTTAGTAGATGATTTCTGCAAAGTTGTTGAAAAGCAATCTGAAAGTAACTGTCAGGTGTGTGGCCCCAAAGACCTCAAATGGTGAGAGTGGCCCAGAACACCAGGGTGAAAAACCTTTGCTGGTGAGAACAGTGGCTTACTCAGGAGTGTTTGGAGTGGGTGTTGCAGCAAATGTCTGGGTGAATAGCATCTCACACTGCTCTGCTCTCCAGTCCCTCTCCCTTTGGAGGGACACTGGCAGCAAACTCCTTCTCTCCAGGATCACCTCACATTTTAGCAGGGTGGGGTCCAGTTCAGCCATGAACTTTCCTGAAAGGATGCAAAGCATAGTGGCCATTCCTGGGATAGAGCTGTTGAATCTAAATTGCCAAAAGAGTTCGTGCCTAAATGCCTTCCTAGTTTTTCACAGAAGGAGCGTGGCAGAACAAATGTAGGAGCCTTCTCTTTTCACGCTGCTCAGCCTGTGGTGACATCTGCAGAAACCTCTGGAAGAAGGTTTAAAACACTTTTGAAGTGTTTAAAACACTTTTGACATGTTTTAAAGTCACTGACTGTATTAAAGAAACCAGCACCTGGCTAGAAATCATACTGCAGGCAAGACACAGCTGGGACATAAGGCAGGGCAGTGCTGAGCTTGGGGATTCCCGGTCTGTAGTGTGGAGGAGTAGCTGGAGGGAGCTGGGAAGCTGGCTGAGGATGTGCTGCTCTTGTTTTTTCACAGATTCCTGTTTTATTGGAGACTTGTGGGCCCACATGGAGTCAGGATATTGCAAGCAGGGAGGGCAGGAGCACCAGCTGCCTGCTTTCTGTGCTCTGACATGCTGGGTGCCTTGTCAGCAAGTCACCAGGGAAGTGATGGATGGAGAGGGCTAAAGGCAGGAGAAAAGTTCAGTGTAAATGGGGTGTAATTAATAAATTTATACAGTGTATATACTTTGGAAGTGCTCCAGAAACCTTTTGCACTTGATGTTTATCATTTGGGCAACATGGGATGGGTGGAGATGATCTCCAGCTGCTGAAAGGGCAGGTGGTGTTTTAAGGAGCAGCAGCAAGCAGCAGCTCAGGTCTGGTTTTGGATTCCTGTGGGTATCTCGTCAAAAGCACCGTGGCATATTTAACACCTCCAAACCTGCAACTTGCTGGTTTTGTTTGATGTTTTATTCAACCAGTGGGTCCCGACTCCACCATCCCTGGGGGATGTTTTTGGCTGCTCCCTTGAAACAGGGGACGTGCTCTGGGAGCACTTGCTGATGGGTTTGCAACCTTTGCAGTCCCAAAATCTGCAGCTTCAGCTCCTGTTTTATTCTGAAATGTATTCCTGTGTGGAAATCAGCTGTGCTATTGAGAGGGAAGTCTGTAAGCCCTTAGGAAACAGGCATTACACCATGCTTTACCACACTCTGTGGCCTTGGGAAAGTCAGTGTCTCCACTGTGGATTTTCCACTCAGATGAGACAAAAAATACAAGACTCCTTACAATACAAAACTCTTCTTGCAAAATACAAGACTCCTCTTAATAACAGTGGGACACTGAGGTGCTGGAACAAGTCCAGAAAAAGGCAATGGAGCTGGGGAAGGGTATGGAGCACCAGTCTGACGAGAAGTGGCTGAGGGAGCTGAGGGGGCTCAGCCTGGGGAAAAGGAGGCTCAGGGGGGGCCTTCTCGTTCTCTACAACCACCTGAAAAGAGGTCGTAGCCAGGTAGGGGTTAGTGCTTTCCCTCAGGCAACCAGGGATAGGACAAGCGGACATAGTCCTAAACTGGGCCAGGGGAGGTTTAAGTTGGACATTAGGAAGAATTTCTTCGCAGAAAGGGTGATTAAACATTGGAACAGGCTGCTCACGGGAGGTGGTGGAGTCGCCATCCCTGGAGGTGTTTAAGCAAAGACTGGGTGTGGCGCTCAGTGCCATCCTCTGATTGACAAGGTGGTGTTTGGCCACAGGTTGGACCCGATGATCTCGTGAGGTCTTTTCCAACCCGATCAATCCTGCAGTTCTGCGACACTTCACGTGGGTTTTTTTACCTTTTTTTTTTTCCAGAAGGCGGGGGCAGCTCCTCCGCGCAGGTGGAATCCCCTCCCGCCTCAGGGCCGAGGGAGCGGCAGCCGCTCCCCCTCAGCCGCTCCGCAATGGCGTCGGGGGGGGGGGGGGGGGGGGGAGACCCCGCCCCGCCCTCGCGCCCCGTAAAGGCGGGAAGGGCGGCGCGCACGCGCGCTGGGAGGAGGGAGCGATGGCGTCGTGAGTGTGGGACCCACGGGAGGGCGGCGGGTGCCCCGGGATGGGGCTCAGGGATGACTGTGCGGGACAGCGACCCTGTGAGGCTGGGGGCGAACCCCTAGGCTGAGGGGCACAAGAGAGCACTATGAGGAACACCGAGCCCCTCGGAATCGGTGGGGAGTTCCTCGGGCAGCAGTTTGAGGGCGCAGGGTCTCTGGAGCGGCAGGGATTGTGGAGGGCAGGAGTTTAGGGGTGCTCTAAACTCCAGGGGCGCTGGCGAGTGAATGCGGGGGTTGGTAGGTAGTGGGGTTGGTGAACTTGCTGCCCGCTCCCCTGTCCAGCTCTCGGTGGGAGCGAGTCAGAATTCCACCTGGTTTTGAGCAGCTGCTGTGGTGCAAGTTGTCATCTGCTGGCTTGCGTTTCCCCTTTAGCACAGACACGGCGAAGCAGGCACAGCTCATGGAGCTGCTGAAGAAGGAGGTGAGAGCGATGCTGATAGCTGCCAAGGAGGGCCTGACGCCAGCAGAGCTGGAGGAGCAGTACATGGCCATGGTGTGCAAACCTCTGCCCCTCCAAGACCTGGGCTTCCAGTCCACCTTGGAGCTGGTGAGACATATGCCTGAAGTTGTCCGAGTCTCTTTTTGTAAGAATGGCACCCTTATCCTCAAAGGTGAGGTTTTGTTGGGTGGAGGAGTTGTTTGGAACCTCATACTGGTGTGAAGCGATGCCCTGTGTCACATGCCTGTTTCTCATTCATCTCTGGTTAACTTCTTGTCTTTGATGTTTCTTCCCCAGTTTTGATCTGCCTTTTAACACTTTCCTTCCTTCTGAGAAAATCACCCAGACTTCTAGTTGTTTTTGTACATTTTTACATTCTACACTTAGTTTAGAAACTGAGGTAACATTTCCTATGGGTACACTAGAGCTGGTAAGCATCACTTTTCCTGTAAATGCAGAGTAGAGCAGAAGCCAAAACCAGGTATGGGTCCTCTCAAAAGAAGTTATAAATGTTTCCCTACCTGATTCCGTGGGAAGTTTAGTCTGTATCAAAGAACCTTTTTCATTTTCTTTGGAGAGGGGTTGTAGAAAACAATGGTAGGTGCAAAGAGTTGATTGGGAAGGGTGAAATGGTTGGGGGCTTTTTGAGTGCTACAGTTAAGACCAGAAAAAGTTGTTTAGAAGCGTGGAAAAGACCTGGGCTGCTCTCCAGGGAGACCTTGCCTGGGCAGGGGAGTGCTCTGTAGTGGGAGTTTACTGTGATTCTGCTTTCCCAGCAAAACTCTCAGCAGGTTTTTTGTGACCCTGCATCCAAGAATTTGGCCTGCCTTCCTACCTGGTGTGAGTTTATAGAGATGAGGATGCAGACTAGCTGTTGGCTTCTAAAAAGGGTTTTAGTCAGTTTGCTGCTGGAAATCAGCCATGATTTAGTTTGATTGCTTTTGAAGAAAACACCTGCTTCTGAAAAGAGGGGGGAGAGAGGAAAGAAAGGAATGAAGAGGAGCTTTGCCAGTGCAGAGCTTTTAGTAGTTCATTGTTTTTGGTTGTGTGTTTATTTCATTCTGTTGTAGCCATTGCAGATGACTCCACCAAAGGCATTGCCAAGCTGGTTGCCTGCCAGAAGGGAAGGACAGGTACTAAGGCATGGAAGAGAACTCATCTGAAGGCAAATGCTGCTTCTCCCTCTAAGAAACCACAACGTTCTCCTCTGAGAGCCAGGACTCCCATCCTGCCAGCGACAGTGAAGGCTGAGCTGCAGGACCTGCTGAGCTCCTCACCTGTTCTGCTCCAGGACTTGGACAAGGCCTTCCTCAAATGCTTTGGCCAGGCGTTCCCGTACAGGCAGTACGGATTTTCTTCCGTGCTTGAAGCCCTCAGGAGTGTGTCTGATTCCATTGTGGTTGAGCAGACAGAGGCGGGTTCCTTGCTGGTCCTGAGACAGTACCTGGCAAATGAGGCAGAGCAGAAAGAGGTGCCTCAAGGTGAGGCGCAGGAAGAAGAGATGCTGCAAGGTGAGGGGGTGTGTTTGACTGACAGCATGTAGTGGCTCTTACAAGCTCTGTAGCCAAGCAACTACGTTTCAGGTGGCTCTTGCTGTATTTCCAGTTGCTGTAGTAGTCCAGGTTCCCCCAGGTTTTAGCACAGAAGGGCTGTTGTGTGCTGCAGAAGCAGCTGTCACAAGACAGTTGTCTTGGTAGCTGAGAGTTTAACTGGAATTTTTCAACATGTTGCCACTGGTTTTTGATGTGAGGTAAAGGAAGAGATGTTTAGCCCCTTCAGAGAATGAACTTTCTGAGTGTGTGTGTGTGTGTGTGTAGGACTGGAATTTCTAGTCATTCCATGCAGTAGGTAACAAAACCAGAAGGATCTTCTGAACATCTGCTCTGTGGGCTGGTGAAGCCTTTCTGATATTCTTTTTGAGACAACACTAGCCTGAAAGGCACAGCTGCAATGTTCCATAAAAGAGACAAGACTGCAGATACCTTAAGTGTTCTCATAAAACCTACAGTAAAGGGTGGAAAAATCACATAGAGTTACTGACAAATTCATGGCTTTTCGGGGGAAAATTAATTCTGGCATCATTCTAGCAATGGATTTTAGCACTTGGCATGCTTTTAAGAGCAAGCAATTGTTTTGGTTTGTTTCAGCTTATTAATACAGTGAATCCTCATGAATGTGGTGGCTGTGAATGCTACAAGAAATGAGGAAAACACCACCAGTGTTTTCAGATGTTTCCTCTTTTTGCTTAATATGCTACACTGCATCAGTCCAATCAGTAAGAATAACAGCCAAAATGTCATCTTTGCAGATGAGATGCCTCCTTTGGAACCTGTCTGTGAGACAGAAAACTTCCACCAGGAAGCACTTCTGATGAAGTGGGAGCCAGTGGAAACAGAAGCAGATTTGGGTGATCACCTCAAACAAGTAAGTGATGGACAAGTGATCTGTAGATTTTTCAGTCTTATTCGAGTGGGTGATAACTGTTTTTCCTGTCTTTGTTGAGTTTGCATTGCTGATGCACTGTTTCCATCTACATTAGTTCAAAGGAAATAATGTTTTCGGCCGTGCTAACAGCTCACTCATACAAATCTGTCTGGAGTAAGAAAAGAACAAAGCTTGTATATTTTGTTTGGTTTTGTCCTTGGGAAATAGCTCTAGTGTGAAAGTGGGATGCATTTATGCCTTCTGTCACTTCTGAGTCGCTTTCAGATAGTTTTCCTCATTCAGTCATGTACTTTTTTGTGGTCACAGAGCATAGAAATAACATCTTTTCAGTAAAATCTAGCAAAGAGATGGGTTTAATTTGGTTTGGGTTTTGTTTTTTTGGTTTGTTTGTGGAGATTTTTGTTTTGTTGTGCTTTGCCTTTTTGGCAACAGCAATTTACTACTTTTATCTAAATATGTGACGTGACTTCAATTAGTCTCCTTTATTCCCTGTAGGAATATGAGCAAGGTGTTTTTGTTGTACCCCTCTTTATACTGGAAGGAAGGAAAAGAGAGAGTGTGAAAATGAATGCTTCTATCACAGGGAAAGTTTGGATCTAAGTTTGTGCAATTTGTTGGGATTCTCTGATATTCAGTTATTCACAGGTCCCTGGGAAAACAGAACTATCCTTTTTAACTTACTGGAAAGGCCAGTTGTGTGTGATCAGTGTATGACAAGACATCTGAGTGCCACTTTCCTCTTATCCCTTTGTAGCCTCAAGATTTTCAGCAGTTGCTGCCACACAAGCTGACACTGACTGAAGGAATCCTCCCAGATGCTGTTCAGGACAGAAGCCTTTGCAGTTTACCACCTCTGAAGAGAAGGTCCTTGGTGGGAGTCGTCGTGGAATTTGTCGTCTCTCCTACCCAGTTCTACATCCACATCTGTGGCAGGGAAACATCCTACAAACTGCAGGATCTGATGTTTGAGATGAGGTGGGAGCATGTTGTGCCAATGCAGTGCTGGTGGATGTGTTTGTGGTGAGGGAAGAGGGCACCAGCTGTTGGTGATGGTCAGTGCTGGCTTCATTACTTGGTAAACTCATCGTGCTTATCCATTCCTCTTAACTAACAAGCAGTGAGTGCGTTCAATAGCAAAATAGTCTTAGGCTGTTCTGGACTTTAAAAGCCTGGAAAGATTATGGGGAGGATCTTAAAGGATTCCTTTGCCTTGTGCTACTGTTGCTAATGTGCTCAGTTAAAGCTTTTATTTCTATCTCTAGCACTTTGAGCCAGTACTCCAGAACTTGGTTCATAAAGAACAATGACATGTAAAGGTAATGTTAAAAAATTAATTATTAGAATAACTGTATTTAGCCTCTGATTAATCCCCATTAATTAACTTTTTGTCAGACCCCAAGAATATCATTCAAATGTTAGAAGTTTGGGTCTGAATTTTTTTGTTGCTGTTGCAGTTCAAGTGTGGGATAACAGAGATATAAAGGATCTATTGAAACAACTCCTGAAAATTCATGTCATGGGGACTTCGAAAAATAAGGATTCTTTTGATGCCCCATGTATTTCTTCTTGTTCATGTCCTGCATCCTGCTAAGCAGAGTTTCTCCCTATGATGTTTTACAGACACCTTTACTCACATAAACTTGTCTCTGATAAATACATCATGCCTGACTCTGCAGTACAGCCTGGACAGCTCTGCTGTGTGATGGTCTCCAAATGGTGGTACCGTGTTATCATCCACCGTGTGATCAGTGACCAAGAAGTGGAGGTGTTCTATGCAGATTATGGACACCTCCAGATTGTCCAAAAGTCTTGCCTGAGATTCCTCAAGTAAGTGAATTACACATGGGCGGCAGAACAGCTGAGGTTGGATTAGACTTCTGGAGGGCATCCTGTCCAAGCTCCCTGCTCAGGTGGGGCTGTCTGGAATAGACTGCCCAGGCCTTGTCAAGAGGGTTTCTGAATGTTTCCAAGGATGGAGACTTCATGACCTCTTTGGGCAACCTGTTCCAGTGCTTGCTCGCTCTCATGGTAAAAATGCCACTTTCCAGACAGCCAGCCCCAGGTGTGTGCTGGTGTGTGCTGGTGTTCCTCCCCAAGTGCAGGACTTTGTTGAACTTTATGAGGTTCCTGTCTGCCCATTTCTATCTTGTTGAGATGCATCTGGATGGCAGCCTGACCCTCTGGGGTATCAGCCACTCCTGCCAGTTTTGTATCATCAGCAGACTGAGGGTAGGCTTGCCCAGGTCAATAATGAAGATGCTGAACAATGCTGGACCCAGCATTGACCCCTGGGGTACACTGCTAAATCCTTTCCTGTTTCTGCCTTCACTCCTCAGTCTGTCCTCTTGCTGCTTTCTGTCACCTTGGGGCAAGCTCTCTAATCCCCCTTCCTGTGTTCCATGAATGGATATAAACATTCTCCTGAAGGGACATCAGTCCAAGTGGGACATGTTTGCGGTGCCACAGGTACTTGTTCTCTGCAGTTCAGCACATTTTCCATATTTGCATCTTCCCCCTCATTTGCCTTTCTTCATGCCTGGCTGTTGGCATTCTTTGGTTCAAAAGTTATGGCTCTCTGTCCCTAGCTTTGTCTCCACAAGGAGTTCTGATGGGAATGTGCTTGGGCCAGAGAATGTGTAAGGTAGCAGCTGTTACTGCTGTTTCTGCTCTGCCCATTCTCTGGATATGGAGTGTTTTCCAAAGCTGCTGTTAGGTTTTAGTCATAAGCACACAATCCAGTGTATGCCTCTCTATTCCTAAGCTGATATTAAAACCCAGAAGAGGAGAGAGTTCTGCTCTGCTGCTGATTTTTCCCTATTTTTGCAGTAATGGCTTTGCTTTGTATTTTAGGTGGCAGTACTTGAAGCTCCCTGCTCAGGCCATCCCGTGTTCCTTGGCATGGGTAAAACCTGTGGAGGTACATGTTCACATGCAGTTTTGTGTATTGACATATGTACAAGAGTTACCAAATAGAAGTTGTCTTTTTCTCCTGCTAAGGGCAGGCATTTGGATGAATTCAGGTCCTGTTGATATTTACAGCAGAATTGGTACTTTTGTGTTCAGCAGAGCATGACTGGGTAAGTCTCTGCTCAGCAAGCAATCACCCTTCCAATGCTTTCCTTACCATCAGAGCATTCTTGCTTATATTATTGCAGAAACTGTTAAACTACTGAGCAGACCTGTTTCTTACCCTGCCAGTAGTTCCCCAGAGTCCTTCTGAAGCCTTGGTAGCTCCAGCCCTCTGTTTTAAAAAACTCTTCAGTGACAGAGCTTTAAGTGCAGTCAGCCCAGCCAAAGAGTTACAGAGGTCATAAAGTTCTTCTGTGGTGGGAAACCTCTTGGTCAAGAAGCAGAAGTACAATCTGAAGGGAAAGCATGTGAGCAGAGTTCCTGCCTCTGTGTGTTTTAAAGATGCTACTTTTAAGAAGTTGTTTCCTCTGGGTTTTGAGAGTTAATCACGATTTTCGTTGCAGCGAGGCTTAGCAGCTTCTTAATAACTTCTGATACTTCTGACATCTGTAAAATCCCATGATTCCAGGAATTAAAAGAATAAAATAAACACCAAACAACTGTATTTTAGGCAGTTTTGATAAAATCACTGGCGAATGCCATTGGACTGTGTTTGGAAGTGGGTATTTAAGGTAAAAGGGCAATCCCAGTGTACCCAGCATTGCAGGCTTTGGGAGTAGTTTGGTTTAGTTCTGTGCTGGGAAGCTGATCTGCCTGACTTTCCTGTATTTGTCACTGGCCTGGCTCAGTTGCCTTTTGACAAGTGCCCTCCACCAGGAAAAGTCTCAGGTGGTGGACATTGGTCTGTTTATAGTAACTTTACATCCTTGTTTCCTCCTTCAGGGTACATGGTCTCCTGCAGCAACTCTCCTGTTCAAGAATCTCTGTGGCTTCAAGGAGCTTGTGGGCATTGTGGATGAATATGTGGATGGCATTCTGCACCTCTTCCTCTGTGACACATCCACCAAGGAGGATGTCTACTTCCACTCTGTCTTGAGGGATATGGGATATGCTGATGTCTGTGGAGTGAACATTCCTTCCCAGGTCAGGAGGGAGGCATGTGCTGCTGAAAGGAAGGGCAAGGAAAGGACCCCTGGCTGGGTGCCTGTAATGGGAAGATCTTTACCTTGAAGCAAGCAGTTTTGTGAAGAGCAAAACTGGTATTCCCTGCTTTCCTGTAGCTTACCATTTGTTGCTGCAACCCACAGTGTGTAACTCTATGATGAGAGCTTGCTTTTTGGTTAAGGTGGAATCTGATGATGCAGCAGAGATGTTCTGGTTTAGCAGAACAAATTATTTCCACTGTCTTCTGGCAGTGGATTAGAAGTTGATTAGCTTGGTAGTGATGCAGATTCAGCTGACGCACATCTTGTAGAGATAACAGGGAAAAGTAAAATCACTGCAGGTGTTCTGAGCATAAGGCCAAACTGAGATGGAATTGAGAGGTTGTTAAGAGATGTGTTAATTGATTCATCCAACCAATTAATGAGAGCTCAAGTTCATTAGATTTTATTGTATGACTTAAAGTAGTGCTACATCGTGAGCAGTTGGGTGAGGAACACTCCCATCTTCAAAAGGGGCAAGAAGGAGGACCCAGGAAACTCCTGGCTGGTCAGCCTCACCTCCATCCCTGGAGAGGTGATGGAAAAGGGCATTCTGGAGGTCATCACCAAGCATGTAAAAGAAAAGGTCACCAGGAGTGGTCAGCATGGATTCACCAAGGGGAAACCCTGCTTGACCAATCTGATAACCTTCTGTGACAACACGGCAGGATGGGTTGATGAGGGGAGAGCAGTGGGTGGGGTCTACCTCGACTTTTGACTCTGTCTCCCATAACACTGTCGCAGGTAAGCTCAGGAAATGTGGGTTAGGTGAATGGGCAGTGAGGTGGATCAACAACTGGCTGAATGGCAGAGCTCTGAGGGTCATGATCAGCAGAGTAGAATCCGGTTGGAGTCCTGGAGTCAGTGGCATTCCCCAGGGATCAACAGTGGGGCCAGTCTTATCTTTATCAATGACCTGGAAGAAGGGATAGAATGTACCTTCAGCAAGTTTGCTGATGATACAAAAGCGGAGGAGTGGGTGATACACCTGAAGGCTGTGCTCCCATTCAGGGGGACCTTGACAGGCTGGAGAACTGGGCAGAGAGAAACCTAATGAGGTTCAACAAGGGCAGTTGTAGGGTCCTTCACCTGGGGGGGAATAACCTCAATACCAGGTTGGGGGCTGACCTGGACAGCAGCACTGTGGAGAAGGACATGGGAGTGTTGGTGGATGACAAGTTGTCCATGAGCCAGCAGTGTGCCCTGGGGCTAGGAGGGTTAATGGGATTCTGGGGTGCATTGGGAAGAATGTGGCCAGCAGGTCAAGGGAGGTGGCCCTGCCCCTCTACTCAGCCCTAGTGAGGCCACATCTGCAGTGCTGTGTCCAGTTCTGGGCAGGTTCCAAGAAGATGGTGCCAGACTATTTAGTGGTGCCCAGGAACAGGACGAGGAGTAATGGCCATAAACTAAAACACAAGAAGTTCTGCCTCAGCATGAGGAAGAACTTCATGTTGAGGGTGGCAGAGCACTGGAACAGCTGCCAAGGGAGTTGGTGAAATCTCCCTCTCTGGAGACATTCCAAACGCACCTGGATACATTCCTGTCACCTGTTCCAGGTGACCCTGCTTTGGCAGGGGGGTTGGACTGGATGATCTCCAGAGGTCCTTTCCAACCCTAATAATTCTGTGATACTTAAATTATTTGGCCTTCTTTGCTCTGAGCACTGAAGGTTGGTTATGCCATTAGCAAACTGAGTTATGGAAATTGTCTTGCTTTAAAAACTCTTACTTTGCCAGTGAAAGGTACCGTGTTGGACAGTGTAACCATGGTAGATTGCCTGCTGTGCCTCGGACAGGCATTCCAGTTGTAAGCCAGGGCAGAGGGCATTTATGCTTTAGGCTCCTCTGTGTCATTATCTGCTTGTGTCAGCTCAGTTTCAGTAAGAACTGTGTGGATGATGAAAACCCTTGGAAAGGTACTGCCATGATTTTATACCTCAGCAGAAAACTGGGCTTTACAGCCTGGAGTGCTTCTATCTGTTGCTTTCTTCAGTAGATGTAGAATGCATGTTTTGGCAGGATTAGATTCTATGATTGGGTTTTTTTGCATGTGTAGGTCCACTTTTGAGGGGGAGAGGGGCATTGCTGAGAAATTTTGCTGCTGGCAGGAGAGGAGTTGATTTTCCTAGGAATGCAATTTCTGCAAGGATTTTGAGCTCACTTGTGGGTGTTGTGCTTCTCCATAAAACCTACTAGAGGTTTGCTGAATCCTTTTAATTCTTTTTGGCGGTTACAACATGGGCTTTTCTCCTGTCCTGGTGTGTTTTTTATTTGTTCCTAGGAATTCAAGGAACTGAATCCTTTGGCCTTGTATGTTCAGCCCAGTGGAGAACAGGAGAATGCTGAACTGGCAGAGCCAGACCTTTGCTTGCAGCAGGAATCTCTGGTTGCAGATAGTGAAACAACAGCCTCAAAGCTGGATGGGGCTGAAGTGTGTGACCAGGTGAGAGTTTGGCTGTGGCACAGCTATTGTTCCATGAAATCAGCTCCATGTGGCTGAGAGGTGGGTGACCATCCCTGAAATGTAAGTTTAATTTGAATTCTTAACCAAAAATGCAGAGGGGCTTCCTCTGACTCAGTTCCTGCTTCCTTGCAGAAACTCCCTCTGTCACTGCCACCACTGGTTCTGCGTGGGGCTGCTGAGAGATGAGCCAGCTGTTGATTCTTTCCTAAGACATGGTGCTTTGCATCTTGTAATCTGTCCCTCTTTTCAGCTTGCTGTGCAGGAAAAGCTGCCCTTTGGCCAAGGGAACTAGGGGTTTGTTGTTGTGTAGTTTTGTTGGCGTGGTTTTTTAATCATCCAGTTGCTGACATTCCAGTTCTTTGTAAATTTTGAGAGATAATAAAGATCAGGGCAGCTAATGAACTGATTGTGCACTGATTGCACCCTCTCTTGATTTTTTTTTTAATGTACATTTGCAGACACCTCATTCTCTTGGAGAGTCCTCCGTACCTGCTGTCTTAGTCAAGTCAGCGGAAGATCTTTATACCTCCTTTATTTACTCCAAGCAACTAGCAGAAATGAGGCAAGATGACCCTGATCAGATAGAAAGATTTTTGAAGCAAGGCCCAACTTTCTGAAGCTGTACATCCTGCTGTTCTGCTCATGGCAATGCCATTCATGCTGGACACCCCTAACAGTATGGGTAGATTTGTCAGTCAGAGGTCACACAGCAGGAAGCTGAGCAGTCTGTTACCATGCCATGAGTTTTGCAATCTCTGTTGGGTATCCTAGGGCTGGTGCTGCTGGAACAGATGGACATGTTGGTGTTTCTGTGGGCTGGAGATGCCACAGTAATAAATGGCTGGATGCAGTGCATCGGTTTGGCCTTTGTGCAGCAAAATGGATTTCTAATTGTTTAATGGGAAGAAATGAATTGAGGGTTAGTTCTTTCATTGCTGGGTTTTGTTGTCTTTTCTAGACTTTCTGCTGCTTTCATGCAGAAGTCTTTGTTTCTCCACTCCATACTGTGTTCATTTCATACTGAGTCTCCCAGTCTCTCATCCCTAAGGGATTAAACTGTTTTGTAAATCCTGTGAGGTCCCTGTGTGGGTGTTTGTCTTCCATCTTCCAAATGATGAAAGAATTTACAACACCCCTACAAGAGTTGCTCAATTTACAGAGTGGATTAAGTGCCTTGGTGAAGGCAATGGATTTTTGTGCCTTGGAACAGAGCTCTTTGGAGTTCCCTAGGCACAAGCTACTGATTTCCCACCTCTGGAGAAATGGAGGTGGAGCAGCTGGGGGACCTGGAGAGAGGTCCTTGGGTTATACCATGTCCAACTCGTCAAATAGGTGTGCAGTAGCAAGTCCTCTTGCCGTGATCTGGTAACATCCAGCAAAGGGGATTTCAGTCTAAACTGGAGCTCCTGGATTTGCCAGTGTAGATTTGATCTTTCTTTTCTGTGTCCTTCCTGTTGCAGGTGAAGAGAACATGAAGAATGAAGACCTTCCCAGGAGCTGGCCTCTGTGGAGCCAACCTCACAAACTCCATGTCCCTCCTGCCACACTCTCTGCAGTGTTGGCAGCTGCACAATTGGCCACTTCCCATGCCCACTTCCAGTGGCTCCCCAGCCTAGGAAGGCAGGTGTGAGAAGAGGGGAGAAGCTGGAGCTGCTGCCGAGGAAGGCTGCTGGGAGCAGCACAGGCTCTCTGTATGACCGTGCTGTTGGGTTGTTTGTTTTTTTTTTTGTTCACAAACATTTAATCCCTTGAAAAACTTTTCGGGTCTGACATCTCAGGTGTGCCCAGCATGTGCGATAAGTGTTAATTTTACTTTCAGGAAAATAGTTTGGGTTTGTATTTTTAATTTCAGGGAGATACTTTGATTTTCTTGTACTGGTGGTCTACTGAGTTACTGCTCTTTAATATAGTGGTTCAGGAGAACATCTAAGTGTAACATTGTGTTATATATCCTTTAAGTTTAGGAGAGGGAAACTGGCTGCTTATCCCTCCCTCCCTCAATGCATGAGCAGTTTTGACATTGGTTTTTAACAAAACGGATTCTCTACACACTCCTTGCTCTGAGGAGAGCTGAAGAAACCTTCCTCAAGAAGAAAGTGCTGTGATTTGTTGAATGCCGTGTATACAAAGCATCAGGAATCTCATCTCACATGTAAAATAAAATCTGTAAAGAATCTAGCAAGAGAAAGCTTGAAGCATGACGTTGGCCATGTTTATGTAGCTTTGTGCCTGTGGCAAGTAATCCTGATGAGTGTGAGGTTGTTAATGCAGAGAAAAGCAGTGAAAACAGAAGGGCCCTGGTTAGGAATGCTGGCATTCAGCTGGTTTGCTGGTCCCTAGACTGTTCCTCAGGGCTTCAGGGCCTTCCAGGGCCTGATTGGACTAGGTGATCTTTAAAGCTCTTTTCCAACCCAAACCATTCTATGATTCTGTTGTTTTAATTTCAGCATTTTGCCTTTGATTTGGGATGTGAAAGAGCTAAAAAAAGGAAATGTAGGACTTGTTAGAAAGCAACTACTGGGAAAGCTGATGAAGGAGGTGAAAGCAGAATGGTGAAGAGCAGGGGCTGTCCAACCCAGTGCAGGGGTTTCCTGGCTTCTCTGGTGTCATGTTTGGGTTGGGGGGCTCATTGCACATGTTTGTCATCCATCCCCTGTAACGGAGCTGATGTTGCTCGGGGGTCACCCCCTCTGCTGCAGGACCCCTGTTTGGTTTCAGGGAGATGAGAACTGTGGGGCTAGAGTGGAGTGTCCTGAGGAGACACCCTCCTTGGGCTGCAGCAGGGGCTGGAACCCAGAGGGGCCCTCACCCTGTCCTTGCTGCTGCTGGATCACTGCTAGATGGCAGCCGAGGCCAGCACTCAGCTGCTCAGCTCCCTGCAACCTAAAACTCCTCCTCCCTGGGGGTCTGGGAGGGTGAGGGAGATGAGGAGCTGAAGAAGACTGGTGAGTGAGCAGTGCCCCCATTCCTGGCTGGGGCTGTCTCTGTCCCCACTCGTTGCCTGGGGTGTGGTGGGGGTACAACAGGGAACTTTGGGGATGGGTCCAGCTGCTGCTTGGTGAGGGCTGTCCCAAGGAATTGGAGATTAGGAGATGCTGGGGGGGTCTGGAAGGGGATGTGTGGACACTGGGAGCTTAACACGTGTGCAGAAAGGGAGCAGCATTTCCCTTCCCAGAGCGGTTTGGCTCACATTCCTCATGCCCAGCAGGCCCTTGTTTGTACATTTGTTGCCTAAGGCAGTGGAAAAAGAGAAAGATGCCTCAGGGACTGCAAAGTGGTGCTGTATTCATGTCCCTGCTCCTGGGCATTGCTGTGCCAGTGCCAGGCGGTGGGGAAGGAGAGGTGGCTGTGCCAGGCATCAGGGTAAACCACCTTATCAATTTTGGGGGAACCCAGCCCCATAGAGGCGTCTGATGGAAGGATTAAAGTGCTCTGCAGATATCATCTTCCTACTGAAGGGGTCAGGAGTGCCTTCCCCATCCTCCCTGAGCAGCATCTCCATGGAACACTGGGGGCCCTTCATCCCAAAGTGTGTGTGTAAAGGGGTCCTGCTCCTCCAAAGGAGCTTGGGGTGGAGCTGCTTCCCTCTCCTTTGCCCCTGGTTTCCCCCTTCCCTGTAGTTGGGGCAGCTGTGCTGCCAGCAGAGGTTATCGACTGGGGAGTCCCCGGGGCGAGGACCAAAATGTTTAGAGCAGATTAAAAATTGAAAGGCTTTGCAGCTCTCCCTAAAAGCTGGGGTTAAGCAACACACCGGCGAGGTGTGTGCTCAGGGGACTCACTAATGGACTCGGGTGATGCCAGGGGTCTGGGATCAGCCCTGGCAGGTGGATGGAGCTGGGGTGGGTGGCTCTGCTCCCCACTGGGGTGGTGGGAAGCAGGTGATGGAAACGTGGTGTCCCCGTGGCTGGGGCCATGTATGTAAGAGCAGAGCCAGACTTGGACCACCTCAGGAAGGATCCTGGAGTGTGGGTGAGTCTGGAAAGGGTGAGGAGCGATGCTCTGGGCAGGGATTTTGTTTTGAGGGGTGTGTTTACGGAAGAGTTTCTCCTGGCATCTGCAAGCAGCTGCCTGGCCGTGGTGGTAATCGGGTGCTTTGAGTTCTAAATGGGTTGTCGGGAAGTGTTTGGCTGGGGAGGAGGATGGAAGGTGACAGCTCGCTTTGGATGAGCACAGTGCTGCAGAGGTGGCCAAACACCTCCCTCACGGTGCTCTGGGTTGCAGGAGGGCTGGGTAGAAGCTTGGGGTACCCAGGCTGAATGCTGGGGACACAGAGGTCCCAGGCTGGCCCTGTGGTGGTCTCTGTGACTGGTGCTATCTCAGCGAGGCTGAAAATTTCCAGATTCATGCATCAACCCATCCCTCCCCACCCCCCTGCACTTTTGAGTCAACCCATGCTCTGGAACATGGGGTTCAACTGAGCAAATCATTTGGACTTGAAAACCAAAATTGAGTGCTTCTGACCCTAAAAACATTTGTCTTTTATTTTTAGATGTGGGTTTTTTTCAGATGGAAATTGAATCCTTTCCTGGTTTGGGGAGGATAAAAGTGCACTCAACCCTGCATCAGATTGTTTCACTTGACCCACGAGTAAATGCTTTTCTTTCCTCTGACCTGGAAGGATTTCTTTTTCTTTCCATTTGGCAAGAAAAACGGGAAAGCCAATTCTTGGTACAGGTCACTGCAAAATAAGGTCTGGAGCTGGAGCTTTTCAGCCTGAGTGCTGTGCCAAGACCCGCCAGCTCTTCCCACTGGTCCCTGGAGTGGCTCCCTTTTTCTTGCAGTAAAAAAACCTGTTTTTCCCTTGCATTTTGCTGGGAGCAAATGACTGCCAGGCAGGAAAGCAGCCTCTGGCTGCTGGGTTTTGGATGAGCAGAGATGGGGAGGGTGCTTGTGCCTTGCTGGATTTTTGGAGGGTGACTTAGAGGCCACCCCTGGGATGGGTCACGCAAGCTGACCAACACTTCATCTCTGCAAAGGCCGGTTTGGGTGGGTTTGGGGGAAATGCTGAGATACTCCTGCTGGCAGGAAGGAGTATGAAGGAGACCTGGGGCAGCAGTACTGCTGGAGCATCCTGGGGTTGGGAAATGGGTCAGTACTGCCGTTTAGTTGAAGCAGGGCTGTGCTCCTGGGCCTGGTGCTGCCTGCAAGGGTCTGTGCACACCCCATCCCACAGAAATGGGGGCTGTGGGTGTCCTCCTGAGCACCCACTTGCATCCAAGTGAGTTCTCCCATCTCCTCTCCATCTTGGACCTACCTGCTCAGATGTTGTTTCCAGAGTCAGTGGCACCACTCCAGAGCATGCAAAGGAGAGGGAGGAGGTGTCCCTGTGGGTGCTGTGGGATGCCTTGAGCTCTCAGGCAGCAAGAGGAAGGGGCACATGGCATGGGCTGTTCTGCATCCAGAGTTTAGGACCAGTTGGAATTGGGGCTGTTGCTGGTGAAACCCTTCACTGGTACTGCCTGGGGGGTGGAAATTGGCTCCTTCCTATTGCCAGTGAGTTTGTCAGGGCAAACAAGGAGGGTTTGGGATGGATGAGGTTCCCCCCAACCCCTGCTGCCCTCACCCTGCATGTGTGTGGGCTCATCACCCCCTCCCCACTGCCAGGAGGTTTCTGTTCTGATTCGGCTCTTCCAGGGCAGAAGCTGATTGCAGAGGGGTTGTGATCTCACTTGTGCTTTTAATCCCACTGCTGTCAAGCTCCATTAGGAGGTTTGGCATCATCTCGCTACCTCTGGGGCCAGGCCCAGCCTGAAATGAGGACAAGTCTGGGCTACGCTGGAGCAGGCAGGGGCCGGGCAGGCAGGGATGCTTTAGGGGCTGTAGCTGCCCCCACTGCTCTCCCCAGCACTTCCAGACATTGCAGGGGCTGCAAGGAGTGTGGGACCGGCTCATTTTGGTGGCCTGGCCACTTCAGGAGCAGGATGGAGAGGAGTTGGGATGGTGGCAAGCGCCGCTCCCCAGGCACTGAGGGTGCTTGAAAACCTTTCGGTTCTGCAGCCTCAGCCCACGCTCTGCTCCAGCTGCATTTTGGTAACCCGTGGATGACCTCCCCCTGCTCCCACAGCACGTGTGGCTGTGTCCAGGCTGCGTGAGGCCGGGCATCCCCCCCCGTGCTGCCGCATGCGGCTCCCGGTGCACCCGGGGGTAACGCAGCCGGAGAAGGTGATTGCGGGAAGGGAAACTAATGGGCCAGAAACTGGGGCTGAACATCCTTCCCAGCCTCCCAAAGTGCACTGCACGGCTTGGCAATGTGAGAGGAAGGTGCTGTCACTCATCCCTGTCCTGGCCACCGATGCCCCATGAGCACCTCCCAGGATTTCCAGGCCTGTGTGCTGCAGGAAGGCTGGGGCTGCCTTGGGAGCAGCCTGGCTCATCCTGGCTCTCCTGAGCTTGTTCATAGCAGCTCCATCTGCCCCTGGGCTTGCAGCTACTTGGGAAGGAGCTGACATATGACAAGAGCATGAAGAAGAGCAGGAAAGGTGGGAATACAGATATCTGGAGCCTTACAGGTTCCTGGGGGGGGGTGGCTGGGTGGTCATCAGGGTAACTTCTCAATTTTCTCTGATCTCCCTCCCAGCTATGCTGGAGGAGAGTAGAGCTGGGCTCATCTGCCCACAGCCAGGAGCAGCCAGTGATGGGGTTTGGCAGGCACTGCTGTGCTGATTATGGCCAGAATGTGGCTTTGAAAGGCTCCTCTGCAGTCAGGGAGGTTGGGAAGGGCTCTGGTGCTGAAAGAAAGAGAGGAGAAGACCTTCCAGGGGCTGCCACCACAGTG